GCTGCAGCTGCTGCTGCTGCTGTGCTGCTGCTGTACGTCTGCTGTGCTGCTGCTGCCGTTGCAGTCGACGCAGCCAGTTGCTGCTGCCGCCATACAAACAATTGGCAGATACTGCTGCAACACACTTTCGCAGAAGACTGGCGGCTGCACCCCTCACGTCGAAACTGCTGCTGCTGCTGCTGCTGCCGCTCTTGCTGCCGCTGCTGCTACTGCTGCTGCTGTTGCAGTTTCCTTCGCTGCTACTACAGCCCCTTCTGCTGCTGTTGCTGCAGTTCCTTTTGCTCCTGGCGATGCGTAAGGGTGTGGCGTACAGCTGCACCGGTACAACCAATACGAGGAAACAACTCAAACGAGTGCTGCTGCTGCTGCTGCAACAGCAGCAGCAGCAGCAGCAGCAGCAGCAGCGCCTAATCGCCCCCAGCAGTTGAGGGCCAGGGCTAGACCTGCTGCTGCCTGAATTGCATGCAAAATTAATTGAAAGAGAATAAATAAAAGCAAGCAAAGTTGCTGCAAGTGCAAAGAGCTTCCTCTGTCGGTGTATGTGCACGGCACAGCAGCAGCAGCAGCAGCAGCGGGAGCAGGAGCGCAGCAGCAGCAGCAGCGCTGCTGTTTCGAGCTTGTGCTCCTGCATGCACAGCCAATAGAGCCTCACTAGTCTTCTTTGTTTAACAAATTTATATTTTAATATATTTTGAACTTTTAGAAATAGATATAGCAGCAGAAAGATCCAGGCGGCTGCTCCGGGCAAACCGTGCACGGGCTGCTGGCGTGCTAGGGTTTAGGGTTTGGGGTCTAGGGTTTAGGCTTTAGGGTTTGGGGTTTGGGGTTTAGGGTTTAGGGTTTAGGGTTTAGGGCTTAGGGCTTGGGGCTTAATGGATCCATTGGTTATTGCCGAACCTGCTGCAGCAACAGCAAGGCCTGGAGCTTCAGCTTTGCCCACTTGCAATCACCGCAGTGCTCTTACAGCAGCAGCAGCAGCAGCAGCAGCAGGAACGGCAGCAGCAGCAGCAGTAGCAGCAGCCAGCAGCAGAGAGTGCCTCGCCTGCCAGTTTTCCCAAGTCGGCCTCAAGATCAGCAGCAGCAGCCCCTGCGGCAGGTTCAGCAGCAGGATGCGCCCCACACTGCCACCTGCTGCTGCTGCTACCGCAGCAGCAGCAGAAGCGACTCCTGCTGCAGCGGCTCCCGCTGCAGCATCGGAAGCAGCTCCTGCTGCAGCGGTTCCCGCTGCAGCAGCAGCTGCTGCGCCTGCTGCAGCTGCTGCTGCTGCCTCACCAAAGCCTGCTTCTGCTTCTGCGCGGGGCGTCGAGACTGCAGCAGCAGCAAGCAGCAGCAGCAGCAGTAGCAGCAGAAGTGGGCAAGGCGCCTTGCAGGGGCAGCAGCGGCAGCAGCAGCAGCAGCCTGGCGGGGCAATCTGCTCACCAGGAGCAGCCTCGAACGCTGCAGCAGCAGCAGCAGCAGCAGCAAAACTCGATGAAGCAGCAGCAGCAGAAATGAGAAAAAATGGACCCCTGGTGGTTATTGTCACGGGCATGGCGGGCAGCGGGAAGACAACGCTGGTGAAGGCCATGCAGGAGTAAACCCTAAACCCTAAACCCTAAACCCTAAGCCCTCGTTGTGGCCGGGGCCCTGGAGGCCTCCAGGAGGGGTTTGCTGCTGCTATCTGCTGCCCATTTGCTGCTAAGCAGCTCTTTGCGCCTTGCATTAGGGTTTAGGGTCTATGGTTTTCGTGTTCAGGGTTTATTCATTAGGGTTTGGGGTTTACGAGGGTTTAGGGTTTGAGAGGCCCGTTTAGGTTTTAGGTGATGATGAGGGTTTGTGGATGCGGTTTTGAAAATTAGGGTTTACGGACTGAGGCTTGCGGATGAGCATCGTTGAGGGTTTAGGGTTTAGGGTTTAGGGTTTAGGATTCACGGATAAGAGTTTAGGGTTTAGGGTTTAGGGTTTATTGTTCCCCGGTTGTTGTTCATCGTTTACTGTTTCCTGTTTATTGTTGATTGTTCATTGTTTAGGGTTTAGGGTTTAGCGTTTAGGGTTTAGGGTTCAGGCTTCATTGTTGAGTTTAGGGTTTAGGGTTTACTGTTTCCTGTTCATTGTTCATTGTTTATTGTTCATTGTTCCCTGTTCATTGTTCACTGTTGATTGCTCATTGTTCGTTGCTCAGGGTTCAGGGTTTAGGGTTTAGGGTTTAGGGTTTAGGGTTTGTCGCAGGGTGTTGACTGGCCTGGGCAAAGTGGTGTACGCGGTGAACCTGGACCCTGCAGCAGCAGCAGTTCCTTTTGCTGCTGCAGTGGATATTCGCGACAGCATAAATTATAAACACTTAATGAGGGTTTACCAGTTGGGGCCGAACGGGGGGATGTTGACGGCCCTAAACCTCTTTGCCACCAAGATCGGCGCGCTGCTGCAGCTCATTTTCAACAGAAGCAGCAGCAGCAGCAGCAGCAGCAGCAGCAGCAGCAGCAGCAGCAGCAGCGGGGGCAAAGGGGGTGAAGGGCGCGCGGGGGAAGCTGCGCAGCAGAGCGAGGGAGGACCCGCCGCCCCCAGCAGCAGCAGCAGCAGCAACAGCAGCAGCAGCAGCAGCAGCAGCAGCAGCAGCAGCAGCAAAAGGGGGATTGACGTGGTGCTGGTGGACACTCCGGGGCAAATAGAAGTGTTTACTTGGAGCGCAAGTGGGGCTTTAATTGCAGAAGCTTTTGCTGCTAGCTTCCCAACTTTGCTGCTGTATGCAGCAGATTGCTGCAGCTGCCAAGCCCCAAACAGCTTCCTCAGCAACTTAGTGCATGCATGCAGCGTTTGCTTCCGCCACAAACTCCCCTTTTTGCTGCTGCTCAACAAAACAGATGCAGCAGACCCCAACAAAGTCCTCAAACTCCTCAACAACTACGAAGACTTCCAGGTCTGCTGCTGCTGCTGCTGCTGCTGCTGCTGCTGCTGCTCATGCTGCTGATGCTGCTGTTGGGGTGGTGGTTATGGTGGCGCTGCTGCTGCTGCTGCTGCTGCTGTTGGGGTGGTGGTGCTGCTGCTGTTGAGGCTGCTGCTGCTGCTGCTGCTGCTTGCTGCTTCTTGCTGCAGCCCACCCACTTTAGCTGTTTATTTTTGTTTGTTGTTTTAACATTAATTGTTTTATTTACTTGAATTGTTTGTTTTGCTTTTATTTTTGATATTATTCCATCTTAATGTTGTTTCCTAATTGGTATTTTTATATCTATTCTTTTAGCTGCCATTATCCACTTTCATTTATTTATTTCATTTATGATTTATTTATTTATTTATTTATTTATTTGTTTGTTTGTTTTATTTATTTGCTTCCTCTTGTTCCTTCGTCTTTCTCCAGTTATTTTTGAAAGCGTTTGGAATTTGCTTTTTTCTGTTTTCTGCATTTCAAGTTTCAATTTGAATAATTTTTCATTCAAGTTTCAATTTGGATTTAGTTTTTAATTTAAAATTCAAATTTAATTTAATTTTAAATTGAAAACTCAAGTTTGTGTCCAGCTATGCATTTATAGTTGAACTTTGGATCTTCTCTTCGTTTGAATGTGCAATTTGAATTGTTTCTCCATTTAAAGTTGGATTTGAACAATTTCTTCATTTAATTGCAAATTGAACTTAATTTTCAGATTAAAATTCAAATTTTAATTTATTTTCGTATCTAAAACTCGAATTTGCATTACTTTTCCACCTAAAATATTCCAAGTTGAATTGTTTCGCCATTTCAAGTTGCGGGTTTTTGAATTGTGCGTTTCTGCGTGGGATTTCTTTCTGAAAAGGATTTAAAACGGTGAAATGAATCGTTTTAATTCATTTATAATTATTTTAATTTACTTTTAATTTTAATTTCTTTTTTTTCTCACTCAGGAAGCCCTTTTGGCGGACGATCGTTACATGGGTAGCCTGGGCCGCTCCACGGCTTTGGCGCTGTGCAGCTTTTACGAGAAAATTGAAACTCTGGGAGTTTCTGCTGCCACTTTGGAGGTTTGTTTTCATTTATTTGCATTTATTTCTTTTTATTTTTACATTCTTTTTATTTATTTTCTTTTATTTCGAAATTTTGATTCATTTTCTCCCACTTTCACTTTTATTTCAAATTGGTCCATTTCCGCCGCATGTTTCGCCCCCGCAGCCAACTCTACAGTTTCTTCTTTTTCATATATTATTCTTTAATCCTTTTTCAAATTAAAAACCAATTTTAATTTTATCCTTTTATTTTAATTAATCCATTATTCTTCCATTGTCTTTTTCATTCATTTTATTTCAGTTCCTTTTGAAGGACTTTTCGCCATTTTCTGCTTTTGTATTCATTTCGTGTGTCTCGCTTCTCATTTACTGTTTTAAATATCTTTAATTTTTATTCATTCATTCATTCATTTTAATTATTTATTTTATTTTGTTCACTTTTATTGTTCTTTAATTCATTCTAGCGGCCTGGCGCTACTACGCGTGCTGCTGCTGCTGCTGCAGTTCGAACTGCTGTTGCTGCGCTGCTGCTGCTGCCGAGACTGTTGTCCTCACTGCTATTGCCTTGCTGCTGCTGCTGCTGCTGCTGCTGCTGCAGGGGATGGACAAGCTGTGGCCCTGTCTGCTGAGGCTGCGGCAAGAGTACCAAGAGCAGTATATTCCCTATTTGCTGCAGCAGCGGCAGCGGGCGCAGGAGCGGAAGCTGAAGCAGCAGCAGCGCCAGCTGGAGCGCTTTATAGCTGACAGCAGCAGCAGCAGCAGCAGCAGTGGGCGCGCAGCAGCAGCAGCAGAGAAAAGCGACAAACGAGAAGCGGACTAGCAGCAGCAGCTGCATGCATGCGGCTGAGGCGCGGTGTACGTACACCCCAGTTCAGCTAAGGCAACTGCAGCAGCATTTCTTTTGCTGCTGCATGCATTTGAACAAACCAAACATTTCAACTTGTCTTAGGAGAGACTAACTGCAGCAGCAGCAAAAGCAGCAGCAGCACGAGCTAGTCTAGACAGCGCAGTCGGGGGCAGCCCCAAATGCATGCAAGCGAAGCCTGCCGCATCAAAAAAGCCCCAATACGCATGCATGCGAGCACGCATGCGTGCATGCATGCAAGCACGCATGCGTGCCATGCATGCATGCGTGCATGCATGCCGTGCATGCATGCATGCACGCGAGTGCTCCGGGACAGCACGCAGCCCCGAAAACGAAAACCATGTTGCTGCTCGAGGCCGCATGCAGCCCCAACGCGACGAGAAATAATCCTGCATGCATGCATGCACGCATGCATGCATGGATGCATGCATGCATGCACGCATGCATGCGCCTTATTGCGGGGCTGCATGCGGCGCATGCAGATTAAATTGGATAGGTTGTAGGGCACTCGATGGACTTGTGGACTTTCGCCGATTTGTACCGCCAAATGGAAATGCAGCAAATTTTGATTTAATAAATAATTTAATTCACTTGCCCTCAAAGCTAAGCAGCTGCTGGCGATATCCGCGCATGCAAGGAAAGACCCCCAAATGACCCTGCATGCATGCATGCATGCATGCACGCGCTTTATGCATGCATGCATGCATGCAGGCACGCAAGTAAAACGCATGCATGCATGCCTGCATGCATGCAAGCAAGACGTATGCACGCTTGCATGCATGCATGCGTTCGGGGCTGCATGCAGTGGCAGTAAAAAATAGTTTGGGGCTTTTCTTTGGCGCGCATCTGTGGGGAAGTCTTCGGGCGTGCAGGCATAAGACTTAAATGGATCAAAGGCACGAATACTGTGGAAGTAAATGTAAATATAATTGTAAATACAAATATAATTGTAAATATAAACATAATTGCAAACATAAATATAAATGCAAACTTAAATGTAAAATCAAAAGCACATCTACAGCCCGCTTCGCCAGGTGTACAGACACCTGGCGCAAACGGGGGCCTCTCGCCGAAGTCCGAAACTCTATTTGTTTTGTTCCCTTTCAATTTACATTTAAATTACATTTAATTTATATTTATTTTGTTTTAATTCATTTCTTTTTGTTTTGGGCCTTTAAATGACACACTTTTCCCGCGCATACATGCACAGTGGTCCAACTTGAATACTTTTGCACTTTCACAAGTAGAAGGAATAAATAAATGATTTGAAGTGCTCTTGGACTTGCCCTTTTGGGTTTTTTTTGTCTTAAATATATTTATATTTATATTTATATTTGCCTTCATTTTCCTTTCCAATGCATGCACTTTCAATGCACATTGCTGCCTCCTCCTTGGAAATTAATTAACTCCAAAGATAAATCCGAACTGCTGCTCAGGTGTACAGACAGCTCTCCGTGAGCACGAGAGCTGCCTGTACACTGCAGCAGCAAATCGACTGGCCTGCCACTGAAACTGCTTATGCTGCTGCAGCTGCAGCTGCTGCTACAGCTGCTGCTGCAGCTGCTGCAGCTGCTGCTGCAGCACCAAGCACCCAGCAGCCACCCCTGCGGCGCAGTTCAACCGCAGCCCCCGCGGCCGTCGCAGCCGCCGCAGCAGCAGCAGCAGCTGCTGCTGCAGCAGCAGCAGCAGGATGCATTTATTCTTCTTCTTTGATTTTGATTTTGTGCTTTTGCTGCTTCTTTTTTGCTGCTGCTTCGCCCTGAGGAGAAGCCAACTGCACATCTCCCAGAAGGCAAAGCACCAGCTCTGAGACCTGAACGCATGCAGCAGCAGCAGCAGCAGCAGCATTTCATTACTTACTATTAATGTTTTATTTATTCTATTGAATACCTTTATTTTCGTCCTTAATGTACATTTGCATTTAAATGGCTTTCTAGCATTTACACTTATGTTTATATTTATTTTCCCTAAAAGCAGCAGCAGCAGCAGCAGCGAACCTGGAGATGCCGCAGCAGCTCTTTGTGTGTCTCTGCTGCTGCTGCTGCTGCTGTTTGCTGCTGCATGCGCTTGAGGCAAAGAGCAGCAGCAGCGCCGGCCTTCAGCTGCCCCGGCAGCAGCTTTAGCTTGAAGTCGCAGTGCTGCGAAAGAAACAAATAAATTAATTCAATTAATAAATCTATTTATCTTTATTTATTAAGCAGCAGCCAAGGAAAAGGCAGCAGCAGCAGCAGCAGTAGCAAAACAAGCAGCTCCAGCAGCAAACGCAGCTGCAAAAGACGCAGCAGAGTAGGGCAGGCAGCAACACCAGCAACAGCAGCAGCAGCACTGTAAGAGCAGCAGGAACAGCAGCAGCAAAAGCAACAAGAACAGCAGCAGCAGCAAAAGCAACAGCAACACGAGGCACACGAACACTAGTAGCAGCAGCAGCAAAAGCAGCAGCAGCAAAAGCAGCAAGAATAGCAGCACCACCACGAGGAACAGGAACAGCAGCACCACCACGAGCAACAGGAACAGCAGCAGCAGCGGCAGCAGCAGCAACAGCAGCAGCAGCAGCAGCAGCTCACCTGCAGCGCGGAGTAGGGCCCCACCATGGGCACAGCAGCAACTAAAGAGTCTTCTGGAAAGGGGGCCCCCGTCAGCAAATTGAGTTGACTCAGTTTGTCCTTTAAACAAAAAATAAAAAGAAATTAAATTAATTAATTATATTAAATTAAATTAATTAAATTAATTAAATTAATTAAAATAAATTAAAATAAAAAAAAATTAAAAAAAGAAAAGAAATAATAAACTTTTTAGAGCCAAAAGTGCTGCTGCTGCAGTGGATTGCTGCTGCCCAATTATCATTTATTTTTATTTTATTAATTTGATTTAATTAATTTAATCAATTTAATTAAATTAATTCAATCATAATTAATTTAATTAAATTAATTAAATTAACTAATTTAATTCTATTTATTTTCGGGGCCTCACAGCTGTGTCCGCAGCAGCTTCCTCTTCGTCTTGCTGCAGCTGCTGCAGCAGCTGCTGCTCTTTTGGCCTCCGCTGCTGCTCCCCGCCTTTCTCTGCTGCTGCTGCTGCTGCTGCTGCTCCTCGCGCTCCTGCGCCCTTCTTCGAAGTGTCTCCCTGAACCAACAGCAGCAGCAGCAGCAGCAGCAGCAGCAAAAGCAAGGTGCACCGATGCAACCATCTCTTCACGCTAAAACCCAATCAAAACCCTCCCTGTTACTGCTGCTGCTGCTCCTACTGCTGCTGCTGCTACTGCTGCTGCTGCTGCTGCTGCTGCTTACTGCACTGGCTAGCAGCCTCATTCGCTGCTGCTTCTCCTCTTCATCTTGATCAGCATATTTCCTCTGGGCTCTTTTCTCCTTCGAGCGTTTGCCGCGGGGCAGCTGCTGCTGCTTCACCCGCTGCTGCTGCTGCTGCTGCTGCTGCGGGTCGGGCGGCTCCGACTCCGGCGTCCCTGAGCTCTCTTCCGATTCTGCTGCTGCTCCTGCTGCTGCTGCTGCTGGGCTCCTCTTCATGCGCCTGCGGGCTGCAGCAGAAAGACGAGCTTTGGCCTGCTGCTGCTGCTGCTGCTGCTGCAGCAGCAGATCAAGTGCGTCTCTGCCCTCCTCGGGCTCCGATACCTCCTCGTCGCTACTCTCCCCTTCCTGCTGCTGCTCCTGCTGCTCCTGCTGCTCCTGCTGCTGCTGCTGCTGCTGCTGCTCTGCCTCGTCGGAGTCATCTTCTCCCGCTGAAGACTGCCAGTCCGCGTCTCCTGCTACCAAGTAGTAATCGCCGCCGTCTGCTGCTGCTGCTGCTGCTGCTGTTGCTGCTGCAGCAGCAGACTCCGGGTCCCGCCGCGTGTCCGCCGAGGTCGTCCCCACATCCTCTTCATCTGCTCCCCACAAACCCCAAACCCTAAACCCCGGACCTAAACCCTAAACCCCAAACCTAAACCCTAAACCCTAAACCCTAAACCCTAAACCCTCGGTGCGCAAGGAAAATCAGCTCCCCGGGGGCGAATCCAGAAGCTGCCGCGTGCCGGCGGCGGCGCGCCCGGGCCCCAGTGTGCAGCCCCTAGGGTTTAGGGTTTAGGGTTTAGGGTTTACCGTGGGAAATGTCGAGGTGCAGCGAAAGCAGCTCTTTTGCTGAAGGAGCTTCACAAACGAAAAACCCTCGAGGCGGAGGGCCGTGGTCTGCGCTGCGGTGTCGGTTGAGTTGCTTCTCGAGGTCCACTCCGATGCTCGACACCTGCGCAAACCCTAAACCCTAAACCCTAAACCCTAAACCCTAGGCCCTGCGCGCCGCGGGCCCCGCGGGCCCCGCCAACGCCGAAGCCGCGCCGGGGTTTACCGGCGAGGGTTTAGGGTTTGCTGACCCCGCCCGGTAAGGCCCCAGCGCCAGCTAGGGTCTAGCCCGCGAATATTAGGGTTTAGGGTTTAGGGTTTAGGGTTTACAACGACATGAATGTCCGGCTCTTGACACTCCAAAGGCAAAGAGGGGCCCTGGGCCTCCGGCGCAAATTCTGAAGAAGTATGAGACAGCAGTTCCCGCGGGGTTGGCAGCGTTTCTTCAGTAAACCCTAAACCACAAACCCTAAACCCTAAACCCTAAACCCTAAACCCTAAACCCTGCACCCTAGACCCTGAACCCCAAACCCGGAACCTTCAACCCTCCAAAGACACGCACGACGGGAAACAGGGCTCAAAGCCACGGGCGGCGACGCAGCAGCAGCAGCAGCAACAGCAGCAGCAGCAGCAACAGCAGCAGCAGCAGCTTGCCTGAAGGTGGGGGCCCCTCATCCACGGAGAATCTCCTGTAGAACTTGGAGCCGAAGCTGCTGCTGGTGCTGCACCTCGATTTGCTGCTGGCGGCGCTGTAGGCGGAAGCGCTGCGGTGGCAGCCGCTGCCGCGCTGCTGCCCGCTGCTGCTGCTGCTGCTGCTGCTGTTTTGCTGCAGCGGCAGAGACACGCTGCGCGAAGTTTCCTGCTGAGGCGTCATGGAGCTTCTTTCGTCCTAAAAAAGCAAAACACATAAAACACTCCTTACTGCTGCTGCTGCTGCTAGTACTGATGCAGCTCGTGCTGCTGCTGCTGCTGCTGCTGCTTCTGCTGCTGCTGCTGCTGCTATTCACCATTGAGTCCCTTTGCATGGAGTCCGCCACAGTGGTGAGTTGTATAGAAGGTGCCTCTGAGCAGAAAAGGGAAGCCGCGAAACAACTTTGCTGCATGAGCAGCAGCAACTGCTGCTGCTGCTACTGCTGCTGCTGCTGCAAGTGCAGCAGTGCTGCTGCTGCATCGCGCTCAGCAGCAGCAGCAGCAACGAAAGCACCAGCAGCAGTCGCCACGCCAAAGTAGCAGCGCGCCACAGCCGTCACGCCACCATCACTAGCATCAGCAGAAATACCCCAGCAGCAAGGACAGCAGCAGCAGCAGCAACAGCAAGAACAGCAGCAGCACCAACAACAGCAAGGGTAACAGCACGAACAGCAAGAATAGCAAGAACAGCGGCAGCAACGGCACGATCAGCAACAGCAATATCAAGAACACCAACAGCATGGAAGCAGCAGCAGCAGCAGCAAACGCAGCAGCAACAGCAGCAGCAGCAGCAGCAGCAGCA